CAGGGGAGGGAGGCAGCGGTGCAGGGGAGGGGGCAGAGGCAGGCCTGAGACTCCCACCCTTCCACCCTGGCCTCCTGTACCTCGGGAGGGCACAGTCCTTTGCCACAGTCCTGAAGGCTGTGGGATGACAGTCCATCAGAACAGGCAGCCGTTGGGGGGCTGACCCCACAGGACCCTGCACTGGCCCAGGAATAGATCTTGGAGTTCCTTTCAGGCTGGGATGGGGGCAGGAAGAGGAAGGTGGCAGGAAGGCCTGGGGGACACCGGTTGCACCCCGTGTGGGCACCAGGTCTCCTGTCCGTTCGTCGGCCGACAGCCCTCTGGCCTTAGAGAGACCCGCGGCTCTCTGAGTGGCTGGGCTGGAGGTCCCTTTCCAGGCCAGGCCACCCCCGGACAGGAGCACCTCTGTCAGTGGTGAGCACATGCCCCACGGCACGGCGGCAAGGTGACCGAGGACGCCGGACCAAGGGCGTGGAGGGAGAGGTGATCTAGGGCAGCAGGACCCCGGACATGGGGGCCTCAACGGCTGTCATCTGGGCCAACCTGTCAGGAGGGGCGCTTGCAGCTGGATCCCCAGGGGGGTGTCCCACGGATCCTGGCGGTGGGACAAGGTCCTCCTGAGGACAGAGTGGCGCCTGGAGGCCCCGGGTGTCTGGCCCCCAGACCCAGTGCCAGGGACTGAGTCCCTCTTCCTCCATTTCCCTGGTGGGGGGCAGAAGGCCAGGCAGCCCCCACGCCCCTTCTCCCCCAGTGGCCGTTACCGGTGGGGACGACGTGCTCGTGGGTGAGGACAGAGGCCCAGAGGAGCAGGAACTGCCCCTTGGTCCCCCTGTGGCCCAGGTGGCTTTCCGTGAACATTGTGGAGGACAGGGCCTGACCTCGGGGGGGGGGGGCCTGGGTCCGGGCAGGGCTGGCTGCTCTCATCTCGGGTCCCTGCGTGGTGGGGTGCAGACTTCTAGAAGGGTGTCCGGTGCCCTGCTTGCCAGAAACCTGGAAGGGCACGACAGAGAACCGGCTGTCTGGGCCCACCCCCCGTGGCGTCGGAGCCCCTCCAGGGGGAAGGGGACCCTGCCCTGCCAGCACAGGCCGCCACCCAGGGAGGCACATCTGTGTGTGGGGTGGGCCGTGTGCGCCCCTTCGGGAGGCCCCGCTGCCCGTGCTGCTCCGGCGGGCGGCATGCTGAGCTCACGCTCTGGGACCCAGAGGGGGGTGACCACCCAGGCAAGATGGGGGCCGGGGCTGCAGCCGGAGGGGCCACGAGCCTCATGCCCCCAGCCCAGCCCGTGGTCGGAGGAGACCCTCCCCTCTCCGGGGGCCTTCCCTGCATAGCCCTCCCCCGGGTGCTGCCTCCGTCTCCTGG